AATATACTGCTCCCTGTAGACATGATGCCCAGTTCACTTCCAACCACAAGCATTTCACAATGTTCACAGGAATATGTGGAGTGTCTGTGAACTGCTTTAGCTGATGTACAAGAGTTTGTGTGTCAACAGTTAGAAAAGGCCACCAAAAGAAATGTTATGATAAAACGTATTGAAGAGTATTGATTCGATTTCAGCATGACTCAATCAAAAGCGAAATTCAAGACTTAATCTAAAATACTGATTTTCAATTATCCAGATTTCAGATTCCCAAGCCTTACAAGGTTCTAGCTTCTTGGCTGTATGGGTATATAAAAATAATAACAACAAAAAATTATTGTAGCCAAATTTTCATGTATATTATTTTTGTTAATGTAGTTGGTTTTATTATAGTATTTTAATTTAAGATATAGAAAGTGTTTATCAATACAACTATATCGAACGTAAATATCGACTTAAAGAAAATTTATACGTTGTTTTTGGTAATTAAGTCATTTCTTAATAAATAATAAATTTGAAAAATGGCGGAAATTAGTTATTCTACACCACTGTTTCCAGTTTCGTAGCGATCAATGCGATTTTCAAGGAATTTCCTCTTTTCTAATCAAAGGAACCACAGGTAAGTTACTATGGTATTTGTTCGAATCAAAACTATTTTAATAGAATAAAATGTATATATTAAAGCCGACACAAATTTATTTACTTATATTTGATTTAAATACGAGCAATAGCAAATGCTATTAAGCCTACACGATATATATTAATATTTTCTTATTTCACTACGACTCGTACGAGCAGTAGTAAATATTATTATTATTAAGCCTACACGATATTTTTTTATATTTTCTGATTTCAATACGACTCGTACGAGCAGTAGTAAATATTATGATTATTAAGCCTACACGATATTTTTTTATATTTTCTAATTTCAATACGAACAACCATTAATGTTTAGAAATTACTTCTTAAGGAAGTTTTGTTTTTGTTTCTATTTGAAACGATTAGCTGCACTTTAAAAAGTAGGAGACTTTCAGTTTGTGTTACTTGCATGCTTACAAAGAAAATTAAAAATTATCTACTGATCAATTAAAACTAAATATTGCAAAAAAAAACATAAAGAGACGATACAAAATGCCCTTGTCAGTTTTAATACCGTTATTTTAAATAATTATTAATTTAAACACGTTCTATTATTTCGCTTACTCTAATGCAGGGGTCACTAAACTACGGCCCGCGAGGTCAGTTCATCCGGCCCGCCGCTGCACTGTGCCACAAATGAGCTAAAATATAATTATTCATATGGAAATATCATAGATTGTAGATAAACTTACTATGTATCAGATGCAAAAATCAGATTGGACAAATTTGGACATTTTTACTTACACTTATTTTAATTTTTTCCAGTAATATACGTTTTAGGAAAATCAGTGAAATAAACAATTCGGCGACTTTTTGCGACTTTGGATATCGGAGCGATTTTTGTGTAAGTACCTGCAATGAGAGTTCATTCCTGCAGTCACCTCTGCATGCATTGTTGTAAGACGATACAATGCTTACAGGCAGTTGATACAAGTAGTGTGACGATTGTGCACGTGGTTACACAACTGTGTGATAGAGAAGACGTGTGCGCGTATTGTGTGCGCTTCTACGTGTATTTGTGTGTTGTATTTAAATCTGGAACGTTGGTTCAATACACGGATTAAACCCGAACAGGCGACTTTTTGCGACTTTGGTTATCAGAGCGTTTTTTGTTTACATACCTGCAATGAAGTTTCCAAGAAAAGCGGTTTACGAGCCTGCTGCAGCGATCGTGTTTTAACTTGCATTGCCATGTTTAAACCGGTTTAAGAGTGCCGTATATAAAAGGGACTGACTTCAGTGAATTATGTCATAAACTTTGCATATTTGAGTGTTGAAAGAGCTCACAAGAGGTAAGCATTTAATATTTTCAAACTTTTAT